AAATTCTTTTGAATATTTCTTTTTATTAATTTTTAATATTTTGGATTTACTTGGAAATATATTTTTGGTTGGCCCTTTCTCGGCTTTAAATTTTTATTTAATTTTAAAAACATCTGTTTTACATCCAAATTTAAAATTTATTCTCCAATCTCAAAGTTTGGTTATTTTTCTTCGAACGATTTGTATGTTTAATTTAATTAATTATTAATTTTTTGTCGAGACGCATATGTAAATATACAGAATCAAAGATTGCGCGTTGTACTTCAAAGTTGGCACGAATTTTATATAAATTATGTTTGAGCATAACAGAAATACGGGCTTTATCAGACAAATTTAAAATAAGCAGGCAAATAAATCAACACGACCTCAATCCCATATAGTTACAATCAAACTTCACTTATAAAGTTGGGGAACACGGTTAAATAGTAGTGTTGTGAAGAATATTAACTGCGATAAACTATAGCCATTTTGGCTTAATTTTTAAACTAATTTCTGAAAAATTTTGATATTTGCATGAATTTTATATACTGTATATCCTTTAATAACTACCCTGGGTAATTATTGTTTCGACCTTCCGCTGGAGGGAGTAATTAATCGAGGGAGGTAATTATACGAGGTTTGAAATTTGAACGTGTTTTAGGGTATCTGTTGAGGGGTTAAAGTGTAGTAATTATTTGAGTGAGTTTAATACAGGTTTTACGGTAATAAATTTGGCCACTGGGGCACATTTTTATTACGAAGCAATATTCAGTAAACAAATTTATTTTTTTTAATTTTAAGTCCGATCTTATGTTCTCATACATCGTCTGGTCTTAAACGAAATGGTCTATTCTCCTAAAATTGTGGTTTTTGTTTACAGTGTAGTAATGTACTTTCGAAACTTTCTTTGTCATGCAATAATAATGGAAAGATTATTAGCAACTATTTGGGTATCTAATTACGAGAATAATCGCTCGCGATGGTTTACGTATTTTTGGGTTATTATTGATGTAAGTTAAAATATTTTTTGACATAATTTCAAGAGAATCATTAGTAAAGGTTTTTGCAAGAATCTTGATGGATAGGTATTAGACTTATGTTGACATTGACTTATAAGATCCGAATAATATAAGATCAGGATAATATAAATCCAGATAAGGTTAACAGTTTGGAGTTTTGGCAAAAGTTATCATAGCTAGTGTAAGGCGGATATCATCCTAAAAACACGTGAAGAGCAATGTCGCTCTAGTTAACGGAAGTTTGCAGGAAGGTGCAAAGAATATTACAAACGGCCATTCCCAGAGACTTTAGTCGCCTATTATCTAAGTTTATTATCGCCACTAACTTATCTTGGGAAAGCTATTGGTAAATAAGCTGGAGCATATAAGCTCTAAAGGAATAGGCAAAGGCAGAACACTTTTTCATTCATTCAACAGAGTTGCCGGCCGGCTAATCCATCGAGTCTCATAGGGAAGAGCTCTCCCTATATTCCCCCACTGCGTGCTAAAATTTTTCGGGGTTTTTGGGATTTTTCGAACCGAAAATAAGATCCGGATCAGGTTATTTTTTATCTGACGAAACACTAATTTTTTGCGCTAAATCTACTATATGATAAAGTATGATAACTTTTTGTAACTTGTTTAGATATTAAAACTATCTTGTAGCTAATATCCGACATATTTCTAAAAAATAATTTTACAGATAATCATTACTGTTGTGACAGCTTATTTTTTCTCAAATTCAACCGATGTTGAGACATTGTTAGTAAACGTTGTAAGTCAATCTGTCATGTCAACTTTTGGAGTTATTGAAATTTTTGTATGAAAAGTTTTTAATTTAGGAAACTAAATTAATATTTTAGATTCTTCTAAGATTGTTAAGACATAACGAAAAAATTTATTTCGAAAGAAATAGTTTGGCATTGAGTGCTCATAAACTAACTGGCCGTTATCAGGTAGATATATATTTTGAAGACTTTGTAGGCTAGTTAGTGAAATTTCGAAAAAAATCTTTAAATAATGTTTTGGAATTATATTTAATAATAAAGAACTAACGAAAAAATTTATCCATCGAATTCCATGACTTTTTTCAAGTGCCCACAGATGATTCTGCATAGAATAAGGAAACTTTCTCAAATGGAACATCCTTAACCCAAATGACACTGATTAGATATTAAATTTTCAGTTATGTGAGAATATTAGAACAACAAAACAACTTATACCTACTCTGTGTTTACATGTTTGTATAAATATTATAGCTGGATTTCCTCTCGCCCTGGCCTATTTTAAATTAGTTACTTCACCATTTGGTATTATCTTATGTGTCAGTTTTCTCATGTATCTACCAATTACTTATCTTTGCTTTTTTATTGAATTATCTATGATTCTGTAAGTTCTAACAAATATAATTAATGGGTCTCATCTTATATATGTACATACTATTATTCTTAGTGGACTTATTTTCAGTCCTACTTCCATAACCAGTGGTTGGAACTTTGAAATTTACTCGTACTCGTACTTTCGTACAGGGCTGTGCACACTCAAGTAGATGCACAGCCATAACGGCGCAAAGCCATAACTATCTCGTACTCGTATATGCCTAATTTATTTCTCGTACTTGTACCAGCACTATTTTTAACATCGTACCTCGTACTTTGTACACAGGTACGAGTACACATTTTTTACGAGCTTCCAACAACTTCCCATAACTAGTCTTTGTAAAAGTTTCTCCGATACCCTTTTCACTTAAATGGGAATCCAAAATAAATTTTAACAATTTTATTAATCATTAAAATTTAGATGCCATCCTTTTTTAAGAAGAGACTTAAGCAAAATTGGAATAAGTCTGAGATCTTTGCTTAATTTTGGTTCAAAAAATAAAATTTCAAATAAAGAGGATATAAAATCTAATTATGGAGAAGCAACACAGTTAAAAGATATTAGTGGAGGACAGTTAATTAAAGTAACAGGAAAGTTAGAAGCTGAGAGGCATTTTCAAAGTATTCAAGCTGATTGGGAAGCAAAATATATACAAAACAAAATTTGAATTAATTTTATTTAATCAGTATAATATCTTATGTATATACCTAAATTATAGTTTGAATTATTTTGATTCTATTTTATTAATTCATGATTCTATTTTATTAATTCGTAAAATGATTTTCTCGTAAAAATTTTTCGATGCACTCGTTCTTTATTTTTTTCTTATTCTATTTTATCAGTGATTTTTTATTATCACCTTATTCTTTTTCCTTACTTAGTAAGAGCGAGGTAAAAGTGAAATCCCTAGCAGGCTTCGTTCCTGCGACCTCCTGGGCCCGTAGAATAAATTAAAGTGTAAGGTTACCCGGGTAGCGGCAGCGCCGACTTGACCCTAAGAAAAGGGTTTGGCGCCGCTACCCGCTTCTTATTCTCCCTATTTAGAAAAAAATTCATAACTTTTTTTTAAATGGCGATAAAAATTTTATTTTTTTGCCAAAATATAAACTGGAATGTTAGCTATGGTTTACCAAAAAATCAAAAATTTTGACCGACTTATCGAAAAGTTATGAATTTTCTAGCAAGGTACTACTTTTCCTTAAAAAATGACTAGAAAATGAGGTACTTTTTTCTAAAAATTGCCATAAATTGATTTTCAAAGAAAAAATTCCAAAATTTATATCATTAAATAGAGGACATTTCAAACTATCTAAAAATATTAAATTTATAATTTTTCCATGAAATTTCGATTTTTAAGGATTTTTAAAATAAAATGTCTACCCTGCCCCTTAGCAGTGTAACAATTTTACCCTCCACCTCTACCGTATTCTTTTCCTCTTTCTTTTCTTCTTCATTTTTTCGGCGCAAGGATTTTTCTCTTTTCTTCGTTTTGTGGGGGAAAAGTTACTCGGGTAACCTAACCCCGAATTTATTCTACGGGCCCTGGCAGTTATTGCTAGACGCTTTCGCTCACCACGTACAGGTGCTCTACCAACTGAGCTGCATCTTTCTCTCCCTTACACTTTTTATACAGTTCAAATTTAACTTTTTCTACTAAAGTCTAATTTTCGAATGGAATACCTTAAATACTCTAATTGAAGCCCAACTGAGGTAAAAGCCCACCTCTAATATAAGACCATCCGAGAGGGCCTATTGAAAAATAGAAGCCCAGCCTCTTGCAGAAGCCCACCTCTAATATAAGCCTATCCAAAATTTTTGCGCAAAATTTTAATAGAATTTGCTAAATTAACGCAAAACATTGTTTTATTTTTTATTAAGCATCAAATAAAAATATCAACATCAAATCTGCTGTTGTGTACTTCTGAAAAAAAATTAACAAGATTAAAACTTTTCATAAAAGCTGATCAGCAACTTGATAATCAGATATTGAAAATTTTATAAACGTTCTTAAATTATATTTGGTTTTTAAGAGATTTTTTTGAAAAATTTTTGTACATAAAAGCATAAACAAATTGTCCAAGATGCAGCAAAAAGTATAATGAAAATTAATGTTGGTTGAGAAAAAAACAATAAAAGAGCTAAAAAGATGCTTCCTATCGAACTCTTCTTATTAAGAAATCATCCTTAGAGCGGATTGAAAATGAAAAAGTAGAATGTTCTCTTAAAACGTCTTCTTTCTCTGTTAAATTATGAGTTGTCAATTAAACGGTTCTAAAAAGTGAATTTTTGATTTATTTTAGTTTTTGATTTTTAAGTTTAGAATAATTAATTTTTAAAGACCTGAACTTAAAATTTTTTTAAATGAATATAAATTCTTCTCAGATATATTTAATATACATAGGTAGTATTTTTCTAACTAATTTTTATTTTTTTTAAATTGTTAGCCCAAAATTATTTTTTAATTAGGAAAGTACATTGAAAATTTCAATTTAAAAAATTCAAATAATTCATTGTTTAGTTGAAATATTTAAAAATAAAAAAACTTAAAGTAAATAATAAAGGGCAAATTTAATGAATTTATGGGAATATAAATAGCTTCAAAAATATGGGTAGTAATAACAATAATTATTAAAAATAATTAAAATGAATATTTTAACTGCTATCCTCTTTTTGGTTCTTTTTAAAGGTTTGAATGGTGCTTCTCCTCCTTTCGGACAACTTTCTGTAAAAGGTAAACTTTTTTGAAAATTTAAAGTAAACGATCACACAAACGAGTCTCAAATTTGCAAAAAGGGTGACCTAGACAAATTTCAAGATTCTGAATAAAAAATTACTGGAAGTCAGAAATAATTAAAATCACTATAAAATTCAAAACTAATTTAAGGTAGTAAAGTCTATGGATCTAATAATCAGCCTGTAGTGTTGGCGGGAATGTCCCTCTTTTGGTCTCAATGGAGTGAAGGCTCTGTCTTCTATACAGCAAATACTGTTCAATCATTAAAGTGTAATTGGAATGCTAATGTTGTTAGAGCAGCTATGGGAGTAGAAAATGGCGGTTATTTAACGAATCCAAGTGCTGAAAAAGCTAAAGTTGAGACTGTGATAAAAGCTGCTATAGCTCAAGGAATTTATGTAATTGTTGACTGGCATGACCATAATGCTCAGAATCATGTTGATCAGGCGGTGAGTTAGAAGTTTTTTTTGAGGGACCACTAATCTGTTTAACATCTATCAAAGTTTCAATCTTATTAAATTAAAAAATAATTTTTGAGTCAACATTTGTATTTAATCTCTCTGTGTGTTCAGTGTTTAATCCTAATAACTATTACCTTTTTAAAGAAAAATACTTTCATACATAACCTGACTTTGTCTTAGACTAAACAATGTATAGTATTAATTTTTATTGTTTTACAGATTAATTTCTTCACTTACATTGCTAAAACATACGGATCAAATCCAAACATTATTTACGAGACTTTCAATGAACCTTTACAAATTGATTGGAGTATTGTTAAAAGCTATCACGAAAAAGTCGTTGCCGCCATACGCAAATATGACAAAAAGAATTTAATAGTACTCGGAACAACAACATGGTCTCAAGATGTAGATATTGCTGCAGCAAATCCAGTTAGTGGATCTAACCTTTGCTACACTCTTCACTATTATGCGGCTTCCCACAAACAATCTCTTCGTGACAAAGCCCAAACAGCCTTGAACAAGGCAAAAATGATTCAAAAATTCTTTCCATACTTTGCTTATAATTTAAGGGAGTTTGCATTTTCGTAACAGAATACGGCACTGTTGATGCCAGTGGTGGAGGCAGTGTAGATGTTGCCTCTTCAAACCAATGGTGGTCTTTTTTAGATTCAAACAAAATTTCTTATGCCAATTGGGCAATAGATAATAAAGCTGAGGCAGCAGCTGCCCTCACCCCCGGAACAACTCCATCACAGGTTGGGGATGATTCTCGATTGACAGCATCAGGCAAATTGGTGAAAAACAAACTTAAATCTATGAAAAATGGTATTTAATCTAAAAGTAGATAAAATTAACAAAACATTTCCATTTAGGTATCAGTTGCAGTGGTTGAACTAGATACTCTTCTACTAGATCAATTTTCTAAATAATAAACTGATAATACATATGTACATGAATTTTTCCCTAGAATAATTTAGTATTACGGATTTAGTTTGTATTTAAAATGATAGTTTGATAAAATAAAGTAATAAATTTTTCTTAATTAAAAATTTCTGAATCATTGATTTCGATTTATGGTGTTTTCTAATGTAATATCTTTCCGCAGCCCAAGGTACTTCGCACAAAATTTTGCTTTTATTGTCTTATTTAAAATTTGAAAACAATTTTAACTAAAAACTCGTAAATTTTAATTAAATTATTTTTTCAAAACAACATTCGCAGTTGTTTGAATAAATCTCCATGTTATAGTTTATGATCCGAATCGAGAATACAAATATGTTAGTTGATGGACAAAATAAATAAATTTAAATAATTAATGTAAAAATCTAAATATTCTCACAATTTACGTCATTAATTTATTTATTAAAACCCAATTGTATTTTAAGAAATTATTTTAAAAAATTCTTTTCAAAAACAAATTTAATATTAAAAACATTTATATTTAATTAAATAAAAATTCAATTAAATATTTATTGGCATTTTTTAATATTATAAGAATTATTTACAGCCAAAACAGTTCATTACCCTGAAAACAAATAAAATTTATAAATATGTTTACACTTTTAATAATGAATTTAACAGAAAAATTTTTTGATTTTATTAAATATATTAAGAAAATCTCTCTTTTAATAATTTTTAATTAAAACGAGGAAATCATAGTGATCCTTTTACAGTCCTGAATATTAATTATAAAATTCTCAAAAATTAATTCTGTCAAGGAAGTATAAAATTTAATCATTTTTAATCATTTTGGATCTCACCTGTATTAACTCCCATTTTAACAACTCCTTAATCTCAGATTCAAGGATGCAGGGGGAGGGGGTTTAGGAGAGTGTGGGAACAACTTTAATGTCAGATTCATGCAATGGTGGAGGAGGGGAGTGTATCATACAGGTTGAGGTTCTAAAATATACCTTTTTAATCCCAGAAAATATTAAGCATATTTTAGTTAGAACATCTATTCTTCTACTTCGTTTTGTTTTAAATCAAATGGTTTATTCTCCAAAAATTCTTGTTTTTCTAACAAGTATCGCAATGTTTTTTCGTAATTTTATCTGTAATGCTCTAATTGTGGAAAGATTATTAGCTACAATTTGGGTAACTAATTATGAAAATAATCGTTCATGTTGGTTCACATTTAATTGGGTTACAATTGATGTAAGTTACTTATAAATATACAAATTAAATTATTAAAAAAAATAAATAGGTTATTGTAACAGTAATAAACGCTTATTTCTTCACAAATTCCTCAAGCTCGAATAATTTACTTGTAACTGTAATATGGCAGTTTATTTTATCAACCATTGGAATTATTGAAATTTATGTAAATATTTTTGTAAATAATTTATTTTTAATTTAATTATATGTCTAGATATTTTTTAAATTGTTGAAATACAACAACAAAGTTTATTTTGAAAGAAAAAGTTCGGCATTAGATGAACAAAAGTTAACTGGACGATATCAGGTATATGCTTATAATTTAGAAATAGGCAACTAAGCAGCAGACTTTTTCGGGGAAGGATCCACGAGTCCATCCCTGAAGACCTACACCTTGAAGACCTATTGACCATAAAGATCTACAACTTTTGATCAACACAAATTTTTTACCTTTTTTTTTCTTTACAAGTTTAATCGGGGGATTGAAATGAGCTAAAGAGGGACTAGGACTGATTAAGGGGGATATCATGGATTTTTGAATGTTTTAAAACTAATAAAGAGGATTAAGGGGGATACGATCTACTCATATCCCCGATATCCCTCCAAATCTGATATCCCTCTTAATTCTTCATTATCACTTTTAATCCCTCCAAATCCTCTTACAAATCCATCGAAATCCCCCGAATTCTCCCTTAACCAGACTTCTATAAAATATTCAAAATTTTTAAAACTTTCTTCGAAATTTAATAAATATTTCTAACAATTTTACATAATAATTTAGTTGTCAGAGAATATTCGAACAACAAAACAACTTATACCAACACTTTGCTTACATGTTTGTGTAAATATAATTGGTGGCATTTCTGTTGTTCTACCTTATTTTAATTTAGTTACATCCCCATTTGGAATTTTATTTTGTGTTAATTTTCTTAGTTTTGTTCCTATAACTTACTTAACATTTTTAATTGAATTATCGATGATTTTGTAAGTTTATTAAAGTTTTTATTTAAATATCTTTTTGTTTTAAAGATATCATCCATTTTTGAAAAGAGATTTTAAAAAATTTATTAAAAACATTTTAATATGTAAAAATTCAAAAAATAATAAAATTACACCGGAAGAGCAAAAATCTGAAGACAAGGATCAATTAAAAGATATTCGTGGTGGACAGCTTTTAATAAATGAATCAGGGATTTTAGAAGCAGACAGACATTTTCAAAGCATTCAAGCTGCTTGGGGAACAAAAATTTTTAAAAATAGTTAATAAAAGGAATATTTATAAATATGTAGTTATATTTTGTTAAATTTTAAATTTTTTAATTTCTACATAATAATCAACATGTATGATACAACATGTATCATACAGAAAATTTTCTGCTATCAAGATTTTTATATAAATATCCAAAGCAACCAAACCATATTAAAATTTAAACAAAATAATCCAATTACTTTAAAGAGGCTTTTTTACATATGTATTTATGCATACTAAACTATTTAAACTTGTTTTAATGTTAAAAAATGCTAACAACTAAATATGAAATGAATTTAAAAATTTGAAATTTAAAATAAATTAAATAAAAATAAATTTAGAAATAAAAAATAAAATAAATTACATTGAATAAATATAATGCTTTGTGTATCATTATTATAAAGGAACACACATTCAGAAAATCAACGTAAACTGGGAGTAAACATCCTTAAATATATTTTCAATCACTTTAAGGCTCCAATAAATCCAAAACAAATCCCTTGTACATTTTTTGCGCTTAATTAGATTTTAATTTTTTTTTTGTTTTCTGTTGCAAATTTAAAGGGCTTCAGAGAAGTTTAAATAGAGAATTTAATACAGTCCAGAATATACTTAAAATTCAGACCAATTATAGAGAAAAACTCGAGATATGTCTAAAATGTGGTTCCTTTATAATAATGTTAAAATCTGATATGAATTAGGGTGAATATAGTTTACAGTGATGGGGCTATTTTGCAAGATTGGTGGTGTGTTGGTTTAGGAAAGCGGTAATAGTTCGGTTCGTACCCCCCCTTTTTTTCCTTCCTAAAGGAATTAAAAAATGGTCAGTCAGTCTTATGTTATAGAACTCGTCGAGCTGTGTCGAATGACACCCAAATCAACCCCAGTTCTTAACTTTAGGCCGAGATACAGACAAAACCCTGCGCAAAGAAAAGGGTTTTGCAAAAGCGCCTCACGACTACAATAGGATTACTTTATGTCATAACTTTGTCGAATCTTTTTCAATTTCGTTGATTTTGATGTTATTTAAATCATCTCGTCAAGCTCTTTCGAATAAGTTATTATTTGTTTAATAGAATTTTTAGCCCAAAAAATGAGCTTGGTTCACCCTATTATTTTTCAATTTTCGGAGTTCTATATCTCGGTCCAAAGATAAGGCCTTGGGTTGATTTTGGTGTCATTCGACACCGCTCGACGAGTTCTATAAACTCTGACTGACTGACCATTTTTTAATAATTTTACGATGGAAAAAGGAGGGGGGGTACGAACCGAACTATTACCAGGAAAGCTTTTTGAACTAGGGTTTTTTGTACTCATAGAAGTACTTCTTTAGGTTAGCAAGTAAAAAGATAAGCCAGAAATTTTTTGAAAAATTTGTAATGATTAAAAATGAAACAGAAAATTAGTCTAAAAGGATAAAAATGATAAAAATTAGGGATAATTCGAGTATAATCGAATTTTCACCAGGATTTCTTTAGGCTACTCACATCAATTCATCATATTGATTAACTTCAAATCCCCTAAATTATATTAATTAGATTATTCATTATTTTATTTCAAATAAACCAATTTTCAATTTCCTTTTGTAATATAACAAATATTTTCAAATCTTCAGTAACTCCTGTTGTTTTAACACCCTCTTCTATTTCAAATTTCAACAAATCATTGTCCCCCAATTCATCTTTACCTTTAATTCCAACTAGCCACGAAGTGCAAAAATTTACACTGAAATTTTAAAAATTTTGGTGCGAATGCTAAAAGAAGGATTTTGTTAAGTTTAAATGCGTCTAATAATCCTCTACAAACATCACAATAAACAATTTCAGTCCCATAAACAACAGTAACGAAAACTTTTAAGTTTCTTACTTTAATGATACTTCCTTTTCTTCGAAATCAAATTTTCCCTCCTCATTTTTAATTTTTCCTAATTCTGTAGGACAATCCTCTGTTCTTAATCCAATATGATAAATTTCAATTTGATTAATTTTCTCAATTTGTTCATTTATTTTATCCAAATTCTCCAAAAATCCGCAAAAATTCTCTTGTCCAGCCTCTTCTTCAGTAATACAGGAAAAGACAATAAAATGCCCGTACTGAAAAACAATTATTTATTTATTGTAAATTAAATTATAATTTACAATTTTAACAAATTCTAATCCTTCAACATTATTTTTCATATAAACGAATTCATTTTTAATTGGTCGATTTGACAAATATTTTACAACTTTTTCAAGACCTATAATAATTAATTTAATTTATCTGCTTATTATTAGAACCAAGTAAGCTAAAATATACCTACCGTATTTTCTCGCATATTCCCCTCCCTTGAATAATTCCGCATGCCACGGATGGGTTGAAAAAATAATTCTTCAGGGGAATTAATCAAGTAAATACGCTAAGTATGTTGTCTGATCGGAACTTATTTTGGTTTTGGATACTCGAAGATTTAGCAAGAACCAACAACCCTACACAAAATTGTTATTTACTCATTTGTAGTCTACAATTATTGCTATAAATAAATCCTATCCTTAAAGCCTATAGAATTCTAATAAATTATTTATAATAATTGCCAATTAATAATGCATTCAAAATGATATGTTGATTTGTTTCTGTTATTTTGCTCGTTATTGAATGCTCAGGATGTGTTGTTGTTAAAATCGTAAAATATTTTTCCTTATTTTCTTTCTTATTTTGTTTGCCTTTTATTCGAAGAGGAACATTCCAATCCCTTTAAAAATTAATAATTTCATTAACTATTTTTGTGTGAATTTACCAGGTTGAAAATATTATGAAAAAACGTTCAATTAATTGAATTATATTTGCTTCGGGAAATAGTAGAAAAACTTTTGTTAGCATGAATGAAATGGAAGTTCCATCGAGAAATCCAAATTTACTGTTGTAAACACAGTGAGCTTAAATTGATAAACTGTATAAAATTTAACTTTTTGGGATTTGTTGATTCTTTATAATATTGAGTTTGTTTGTTTTAAATTTATCTGTCATGTTCTGAGTGAAAGGCCGGGATTCGGATATTTGGTTTCAACGTAAAAATATTCTGGAAAAGAATAGAGATAAAGCTGGCAACAATAAAACGCTTTCTAGATACTGTTGCTCGAAAGTCTTGAATGTGGTTACATTCCAGACTTTTCATAAAGCTGCTCATTCGTTAGAGCAACTTTATGTGGCGAGCGAAAGTGCCTAGCAAAAGTGATAACCTCTAATCTCTTACTATTTCAAATGGAAAACTTTCCAATCTCTCCCGGTATATTTGAATATTCTATAAAAAATCTCGTACCTTTTGCCCAATTTTTCAAGGCTATAAAAGTTTGATTAAGAATATTGCGTTCTTTTTCATTTTTATTCTTTAACAACTCCTCCAAATATTCAAAAGTTTTGAACAATGAAAGATTATAAAGAATCGAAGCATTTTGTTCCTTAGTATTTAAATTTTTCGAAATTTTCCTCATAAAAGTTTCAATCCATTTTGTATCATTTTGAAGTTTACGTTCTTCTTTATTATAAACAAAAGTGATTACAAACTCCGTTCCATAATCTTCATAATAAATATTATCATCGTCAGAAATGCGTAAAAGTCTGTGCATTGCATTGAGTGATTGCTTTCTTGCCTTCTAAATTTTAATTGTATAATTATTGTTTGATTTGTTAAAGAAAAATAAAATTATAAAAAATAATCTGACGATTGTTATGTGGATAATATTTAAAATTTAGCCTTATGATATTTACAATCATTTACGAATTATCCATATCCTCAATTTAATTAATCCTGAGGCGGAGCTCATTCTCAGATATAAGGTTGCGCTCTGGAACCTAACGAAAACACAAAGATTTTTCAGTTGGTATGGATTTCCGAATTTTTATAGAATAGGCAACTCTATTCAGATAACCAAACTAGAATGAACAAAAAAAGAGAAATATCCTGACACTTTCTTACATTAAAAAGATGGCAAAAAAGTGAATTTTCTGAACATTGACTAAAAAATGAAGTCAAAAATCTGCTCGCTTTATCAATAAATAATTCTTTTATCACTTCATCGTCAACTTTCCCTGCCCCAATAGCTAAAACAATTGCATGTATATGTCCTCCTCGTTTGCTGTATGGAGATGACATAAATAATTGAAAATTTGAAAATTTTTTAGTTCTTTTTAAAATATTTTTCCATTGTTCGAAAAGTTTATTAAATGACTTCATTGGAGAAATATCATTGTGAGGAACATATAGAGCTAAATCTTGCGAGCCTTTGTTTAGGGATAAAGGCCTAAAACCGTCCGGATGGAGATAAACTTGCACATTTTCAGAGTTATCTTAAAATAAAATTTTTATTGGAAGTAATTATTTATGGATTCGGACTTGGGTCAACTAAACCTTTATATATAACCATATTACAAATTTTTGATTACATTAGATTTATCAAAATTATTGAAATTAATTGAAATATTAATTGAAATATTGAAATATGTAAAGAACGAGCTGGATCTGAATCTAAACCTTGATTTTTCCTGGATTCAGAGTCCAGATCAAGGCAATTTTCAGCGTTCCTTGATTTTTCCTTGACTCAAGGTCAAGAATCTGGTGGTACCCAACCAACATCAAAGTCAAGGATCAAGGTCAAGGTTTTTTGAAAATCTCGCTCTCTAGAAATATGGCTAAGAGGTCATCCAGTGTTTGACAGGAGTTATCCTGACCTAAGTTTCAACTTGAAAACTGTCTTAAATCACGTACCTATCTCAACTTGTTCTTTTATTTGCTTCAACTCTTCAATCTTCATTTCAATTTTTATTGTCCATTCTTTTAAAATTTCCTTTTCTTCCAAGTTGAGAATTTTTTGAACAAATTGTTTCTGATTGGCGTTTAATACACTCCAATTAATTCCACTAAATTCAACAAAATATTTAGAAATCTTTTCCAAATACAAATTTTCTTTGATTTTCCCAAAACTTTCTTTATTTATCAACTTTCCTTTCATTACTTTTAATATTTCAATTAAAAAATAATGCAATTCATTTTCAAGTTCAATATTTATTTTATCATCATTTTTTGAAATTAATTTTTCTTTAATTTTTCCCCAATGATTTTTCATTCTTTCAAATTTTTTAAAATTTACAAAATAAATATCAAAAATATTTTTATAAAAATTCTTTAATTTCTCCAAAAATTCAAAACGCTTCCCAATCTCATTTGCATAAATTCCAATAGCAACAAAACTTTGATTAATTGCATGCTTTCCTTTAGTAATTTGATTAAAAATATCAAACAAATTTTTATCTTCTGTAAAGTACACCACTTTGATCATTTCCTCAACATTCTCCATTATAGTTTTATTTTTTGTTTCTGCCGTTTTTTCTTCCTTAACATGAGAAGCGGGTTGATTTTGAACCTTAAAATTAATTATTTAAAAGATGAAAGTGAAATAAATCCCTCACAAATGGGGTTGTGGTTCGGAACCGAACCGAAACAGAACCGAGGATTTTTCGATTCGTTTCCGGATGTTTATAATTTTCATTAAATACAAGAAATTTCTTCGAAACGAAATTTCGTGTTTCTTATTTTCACCGAAAATTTTCGGTTCAGTTCCTGATATTCGAGGATTTTCCAAGAACTGACAACCCTACTCACAAATATATTATTTTAATCTGGGCCACGTTTCTCGGGTCGGGATTTTATCGGTTAAGGCATTGGGTCATTTTCGGTTAATCAGCAATTTTATCGACAAATTTAAATGATCAGTAAATTTTGGTATTTTTAAATAGCTAAAAAAGTAGATATCTCTTGATGTCTACTTACTAGCTCTTTTCCTCCTCGAAAAATAACGATCCTATTTCTTTACTCAATTTTTCCTTATTTTTTACAATTGCCGTAAAAATACATCTTTCCGAATCCCTACAAGCCTCATTTAATCCTCCCAATTGCAAAAATTAAATAGTTGGGTAAATTTTATATTAATGTTACCTCTGCAACTGAAATAGTTTGAGGCTGATTGTCAGAAATCGTTATATGTTTACTTTGCTTTTTAATTGGATATTCTTTTTTTGGTTTTTTGTTTTTTACATGTTTAGTTGTATTTGTTTGCTGTTTAGCTGCTATTTGAGTTAATCTCTTCATTAATTCATTTGAATGTTCTTCAGTCAAAAAATTATCTAATTTGTGATTTACTGCTTTTTCCTTCTTATTGGTGATTTCTTTATAAAAAAATAATTTTTAAGTTAAGTTCATGACATGAGAAGCCTGTGGTGCCTGTTAATTTCTCTCGGTTAGTCCTGAATTCTTCTCGGGCTTCGAATCCCTCAAAATCGACATATATATCCCACTTAATCCTTTTCAATTTTATTAAAATAATTGGCCTCGACTGGCACATGTACCTCCCCCTAGCCCTCAACACCCCACTGTTTTTGATTTGAGGGATGCAGGATTGATTTATCTCGCCCCTAAATGTTTCACTAAAATTCTAAGGTCATTTAAAATTACCTCGAATCAAAAATTCTAATAATTTGTTATTTTTATCGTTTATCATTTTATCTATAGTCTGATAATGTTCTCCTTTTATCCAAACATCAAAACTTTTTTGCTCTTCTTTGATGCTAGATTTAATATCTTCATTAGTTATGTCATTCCATTCTTTATTCCATTCACGAAAAATCTCCGAGCGATCTCTATTTTTCTTAATAATATAATAACAATTATATATTAGGTCTTATTTTTATATATTAGTTGATAATAACTAAAGGTCGGATAAGAAATTGGTATGGTCCAATAAGGAAATCTAAACTTCAATTTCACGCTCACACTCCTGGGCTTAAAAACTGTTCAAAAAATTGGGACTACACAATTCCCGCCTTAAATCTCTAAAATCCCTAAAATCCATTAATAAATATTTTTAAGTAAATTAAGGAATAATTTTCTAGTCAGGGGTTTCTATTAATATTCATAATTTTCACCAACTTTAGGTTTATAATTTTTCTTCTCTTCAATTAATAATTTCAATCTGTAGGACTTGTAAACTAAGCTTTTAACCAAACCTTCAATATCGTCTTCATCGCTCCATAAAAGCTTTCCATAAAGAACTCTCAAAAATAATTTACGTGTCATTAAAACTTCAAACATTATCTCGCTATTAGTTTTTATTTTCCATTGCTTTTTATCCTTAATTACACTATATGCCCATCTGAACCACGCAAGATAATCAACTATTATCTTATTTGCTTCATTGTGAATTGTATCTTTCGATGATTTGAAATATAATATATAATATTTTGTTATCTTTTCATCTTTTGGAAGATCTAAATTGATAAAATAATATTAATATTTTTCCGAACTCATCTCAGAAAAAGAAATTGGATAGGACTTGATTCAGAAACATTCCATTGAAAATTTGTTAACCCGCTTAATTTTCCCAACATAGATTTATCGTTTTATTTTAGCTTTATCTACTAGGCTAGAAACTTTCTATTTATTGAGATAAATAGATTTAAAAAAATATTTCATAATCAAAACTCTAATATCATTCTTATTACCTATTTTATTCAGTTCTAATAATGACAGGATATTTAAATTATCATTACCGTCAAGTTCGAGTAATCCAGTTATATTCAATATTTTATTTATTCCATTATAACCCATCAATAGCATATATAAACAATACATCGAGCCATCCTTCTTTTTAAATTTATTTATTACATTTTTATCTTCTAGTTTTGGTTTCAAGAATTCCATATGTTCTTCAACAAGAAATGTTCTCATTTCCAAGTGTGGTTCTATACTATTATTTACTGTATAATTTTCAATTTCTGCATCAATTTCCTCGATTATCTTTTCAGTTTTCCCTTCTTTAACATAATTTTTATATAAAGCTTCATTATCATGCAATAGCTTTGCAATATTATATATACGTTGAACAATCTCCAAAAGATCTACTTCAAATTTTTCATATAAAACTGATTTTATTCTGAGGAACATATCATCCAATTCCTTAGAATTTAAATTTTTCTCAACATTATCAATCTTTCTTGAAAAGATTCCAATATTCATTAGAATTTCTTCCTTAGTTACGTGTTTGTAATCATGAGCCTCGTGCATGTTTTCTTCTGGTTCATTAAATTTAAATATTTTTTCATAATACTGCCATCGAATTGTTGTATTCAATATGGCTTAAATTAAGAGTTTGTTATTTGAAAGCAATCATTTGAGATCACAGAAAAATTTTATAACATCATGTTGACTTATAACCCTCCAAGATCCCATGAGAATCATTTGATATTTGGTAACAATTAGAACCTATATGATTCAATTCCAAGATAGCTGTTTGGTAACAGTTATCTGTAATACATATAACGGGACTCTGTCCCTGAAAATTAAAAATCAGTTAATTATGTTTATACATACTCTTCAAAAAAATTGATTTTTCCAAAAATTCCAAAAAAAATTTAAAATATTAAATAAAATTAAATAAAAATATAAAAGTGCAAGTCAATAAAAAGGAGAAAAATATTTTTTTAAAAAAATTGGACTTTGTATCTTTCTAAAAAATACAAAGAAGATTTATGTGATTCGTTCTGTTTTTCAAAAAGATAAACGATAACAAAGTAATTAAAAGTGCATGTATAAGTTTAATCGTTTATCGAGAAACCGTGAACGGCTCATTATAATGGCCAAAAATTTTGGCTTAAATTTGTGAATGAACACATGATGGTTTTTGGCACTTTGTTAATGGAAAAAGTTATATTTTGATAAAAATATTTATTGTTAGCTGGCTTGCCAGCTAACGGCTTGTTTGGATTAAAAGGTGCAAAAAATGGATTTTTTGCTAACTGGCTGATCGAAATTATTTTCGATTAGTAGCGAAAGAAAGAAAAAAATAATTGTTTTCTCTCTTATCGCCCACGTTTGGAAAGTTAGAGCTAATACATGCACTAAAGTTTTGTCCTCTCAAGAGGAAATTTTTAGCCGTTCTCGGCTGCCTCCTTTTATTTTTTGAACACCAATCCCGCCTCCCCCTTCTTTTATTTATAAGCGAAAATTTGCCCCCTTTAGTTGTCAGTTCACTCAAAAATTATAAAAAATTTAAAAAATAAAATAAAAATATTTTTAAAAATAATTTGTATTTTTATTGGAAATTATTAAGGAAAAAATTAAAAAAAAATTAAATTTAATTGGAGGAAGAGAAAATTTTTTGGGAAGAATTAAAATTTAAATTTGGAATTTACTGTGTCCTACAGTTTCTGGTGCTCCCAGGCGGCATAAAAATTTAAAATTTTTTAAATTTCTTCAATTTTCATCAGTAAATACTACTACTTTCATCGTTTCTTCCTCAATTTCAAATTGGCAAAAAATTGTAAATTTTTTATTAATTTTTAAAATTAATTTGGTAATATTCACACTGAATCCATTGTAAATTCAGTAGTGTCTATATATCAAATTATAGGGGAAAAATATTAAAAAATAAAATAATTAAATAAAATAATTTCAAATCGAGCCCTTGTACTCGATTTGAAAAGGGAGGTAAATAAAAAGAAAGAAATAAAAAAAATAATAAAATAATTACAAAACGAGCCATTGTCACTCGTTTTGTAAAAATATCAAAAATACAAAAAATATATTTAATTAAAAATTGTGGTTCTTTGCCAGTTTCTCTTCCTTTCTCTCTCTCTTTTCCTCTCATTTCATCACACAGTCCCTTGTCAAACTGTGTTGATTAAAAAGAATTTTTGAAGAAATTGAAGATATTTGCGTGCTTTAGAGTCAAAATTTGTTAGATTTGTGAAGAGTTGGAAAATTTGAATATTTTTGTGAAAAGTATTTCGAAGAAAATTTTGTAAAATAATAAAAAAGAAGATAAATTATGTCGGCTCCACTCAAAACAGCAATTGTTTCTGCGTTTAAAGCTTGGATGGAGTTCAAGGAGGTTGCGAAAAATTAAATATGAAGGAATATATGAAGAATTAAGGAATGAAGTTCAAGCGCAAGAGGCTATTATCACCGATGTAAAGAATGTTTTGACTGCGTGGGGGACCTTTTGAGAAAGATGAATGGGGAAGAAAGGCGAGCCGGAAATGAAGATTATATTGAGTTTAATGAGGTGCATCACGTCGAAAATACTCTTCAGAAGTTCGAGCAGAATGCTAGGTCCCTGAGGGAATATGCTCAGAAGATTTTGACCCTATTGAAAATCGCAAAGCACGACGCCGAAAAGGAGCGCCAGCAGGAGGAGTTGAGATTCCACACGGCGGCAGCAGCCGCGGGGAATCGACTCGAAACTCAGGCAGCTCCTGCGGGACCAGGAAGTTCCCGTTCCCTTCATTCTCTATACCAACTTCCAACTCTACAAATAAGGAAGTTTGGTGGAAATAGACGAGAATGGCTGGATTTTTATGAAAGTTTTAAATGTGCCGTCGACAATTCTTGTCGCTTCAGAAATTGAGAAACTGACCCTGCTTCGTTCCTTACTTGAAGGAGAAGCACGAGACCTTATCTCGGGATTTCGACTCGAGACCCGAAGTTTTGAGGAGGCCATAAAATTATTAAAAGATTATTATGGCAATACTGAGGCTCATGTGCGCGACTTGCACATTAAATTGGCCAATTTGAAGACGTGTCAGAATTTGAAAGACACGAAAAATTTTGCGTTCGAGTTAGAACGTTTGTCTCGAGAATTAAAAAATGCTCGAGAAGACATAGAAGGGCCCGCTATTTATTTGGCATTGGAGAAAAAATTAAATAAAAATTTTTTGAGAGAAATATTAGTGAAGAAAAATGAAGAAGGTTCAAGATGGAACACTTCCAAATTTCGAGAGGCTTTACATAATGCCTTACAAAGAGAATTGGCCATACAAGAAGTACTTTTGGAGCATGATCAGGACAAATCGCATGCCCCGAAAATTCAGAAGCCCCCGCCCAGAAATTTTAATTCTAATCAGCAAGGCCAACATTATACTTATGCGGCGATCGAGCCAATCAATATTTTAAGGGGTCAAGGAAAAATACCCCAATTAAATTATCAGAGTGCTAATAAAGGGCCAAGATGTTTATTTTGCACTGAAAGTCATTGGAGTGACCAGTGCCAAAAATATAATAATGCCAATGCCCGAATTCAATTCGTGCGCTTAAAAAATTTATGTATGAGTTGTTTGAGTAACAGCCATACAAAACCTCAATGCCAAAGGCCTTCAACATGTTTTTATTGCGGGGGAAGGCATCCCCGTGCCCTATGTTTCAAAAAATTTGGCCAAAATTTAAATAATAATTTTAATAATAATTCTAAATGGAATGAGGCTCAAAATAAAAATAAAATAAATTTCTCTAATAATAGAAATAAAAATACTGGACCTGGAAATAGATTCGATTTTGGCCCGAATCGTCCAGGATTAAATAATTGGAAAGGAACTGGTGCTAATAATGTTCCAATAGGAATCAGGAGAGATGGTTCTCCTTTTAATAATGAAGGTTTTAATTCCTCGAAAGAAAATAATTTTAATAAAGAAGTTAGATTTTCCCCCAAGAGGGAAGTGGCACCCCAGCAAGTTAATTGCCAAATGATTGAGCCTTTAAATAATGTGGACTAGGAAAGTCCTTACTTATGACTGTAGAAATTACAGTATTTAATCCTAAAAAAGAGGAAATAAATTTAAAAGTTCTCGCCTTCCTGGACCCCGGAAGTCAGAGATCCTTTGTTACTAAAGAGGCTGCTAATAAATTAAATTTGGAATCTATTGGAAGTGAAGAGTATTATTTGACTAGTTTTGGAAATAGCATGCCCAAAAAATATAAATGTGACCTAGTCAAAATTGGATTAAGAGGAGAAAATCAGAAGTTGACGATGGTCTTAAATAAATTGGATTTCTTAGTTAATCCTCTTCCTTACTACAATGTAAAGGAAATGCTACAGGATTATAATAAAATTTATGTAGAAAAAATTGAGGATGAACCTCAACAATTAATTACAGGCATTTATAAAGCCCAAAATACCCAAATTTATTCGGTAATTCAATTTACTGAAAATAAACATCAGAAAAATATAGAGGCTGACCAAGAAAATGAAGAAAATTTGGTAACCTTTTTTGGCCTATCGGGAGTTGGAATGGATGATTTAACTCCTCGAATTAAAGACCAAGAAGTATTGGAAAATTTTAGAAAAAATCTAACTTTTATTAATGGACGCTATCAAATAGCTTTACCATTTAATGAAAATATTAAATTTTTGCCTACTAATTTTCACCACGCAAAAATTAGATTGGCAAATACAATAAGAAAATTACAAAAATTGGGCCTTGTGGACGAATATCAAAAAATAATTACAGAACAATTAGAAAATGGAATGATCGAAATAATAGAGAACCCTAAAGAATCACAAGGCCCAGTCCATTATCTGCCTCATCGCGCGGTGGTCCGCACTGATAAAACATTTACTAAAGTGAGAATTGTAATGGATGCAAGTGCCAAGCCTCCAGGGCAGCCAGCTTTACCCTCTTTAAATAATTGCCTGTACACCGGGCCATTATTGTTGAAGCAGCTTGTCGGAATTTTATTAAGATTCCGCTTTTTAAACAAGGTTATTGTGGCAGATATTGAAAAAGCCTTTCTTCAATTAGGAGTGCGCGAGACTGATCGTGACTGTACAAGGTTTCTCTGGGTGGCTAATCCCAAAGAAATCCGTCCCGATCAGACACCGTACACCAAATGTTTGGTATATCGGTTTTGTAGAGTTAGTTTTGGACTAACTGTCTCTCCATTTTTATTAAATGCTAGTATTCAGGAGCATTTAAAATTATTCGACTCTCCTATTGCCCGAAGCATAGAAGAGAATTTATATATGGATAATATTATGATTGAATTAAAAGAAGGAAGTACTCTAGGAGAAGTATATAAAGAGGCTAAACATATTTTTTCCGCAGCAGGAATGAGGCTGCGCGAATTTTTTGGTGCAACTAAAGAAGAATTTTTTGATGTGCCGGAAGAAGATTTATCGCCTAATTTAAATGAAACAAAAATATTTGGCATAAAATGGAATTTGGAAAAGGAAACTCTTTCAATAGAATTTCCAAAAATTGAAAATTTTAAAACAAAAAGGCAATTATTATCAACAATTGCTAAAGTTTATGACCCCCTAGGCCTTATTTCTCTGGCATTAATTCCTGCTAAATTATTGATGCAAAAAATTGTGGAGGATAATTATAAATGGGATGATCGAATAAATGATGAATATTATAAAAAATTAATTAATGTTCTACAAACTTGGCAAGAAAATGGACAACCCCTTAAAATATTTTTCCCAAGAAAATTAAATTTTTGGGATTTAAAAAATCCTGAATTTCATTGCTTCACTGACGCCAGTGGAGTGGGATTCGGTTGTGCCATTTATGTACGAGCCGAGGCAGAAAGAGCTCATTTAATATTTGCTAAAAGCTTATTAAAGCCCGCTCGTTTACAATTAACAGAGGCAACAATACCCCGGCTTGAGCTTCAGGCTCTGACTTTAGGGGTTAAAGTCCTTAATTTTCTGCAAAATGAATTAAAATTTGAAAAAATTCAAGCAACTATTTGGACTGACTCTCAATGTAATATTGAGCGTCTAAATAAATACGAAAAATATGACCGTTTTACGGCCAATCGTATTACTAAAATTCGAGGGCAATATTTGGTTAAACATATTGCTAGTGAGGAGAACCCTGCTGATCTTTGTTCCAGAGGGACTACTCCAAGTGCCCTCCAGGGAAATATTTTTTGGTGGAATGGTCCTAATTGGCTATCCGAAAGTAAAGAATTTTGGGTGGACCCCAAATTTGAATATATTCCTGGCACTGAAAAAATTGAAGAGGAAATAATGGAGGCTATAATTGAGCAAGAGCCAATTAAAAAATCAATTATAATTGAAAAAAGATTTTCTAATTATTGGCGATTAGTTCGAGCCCTTGCTTATGCTTTTAGATTTTTAAGAAAAATTGGAATTAAAATAAAATGGAAAGGAATATTAGGAGCAGAAGAAATTAAAAATTTAAAAAATAATTTATCAAGTGAAGAATTAAAATTTGCGAAAAATTATTTAATAATTAAGGCACAAGAAGCCTTTCCTCCTGAAGATGAAAGAAAAAGGGTTTTAAATATGGCAAAAATTCAAGGCATATGGATTTGCCAATGCAGGATTAAAGAGGCAGATATTCCAAATGAAGCTATTCTGCCTATATATTTACCCAAAGAAGCCTGGCTGACTATATTAATTATAATAAATTTACATAAAATGAATAATCATTGTGGAACTCAAATATTATTGGGAATTATAAGAATGAATTATTGGATCCCTCAGGGGAGACGAGCCGTGCGCGATGTATTAAACTCGACTCGATATGGCTGTTTAATTTGTAAAAAATTTAATTTGCAGCCATATGCCCCTAAAAGATTTGATTTGCTCACAAAGGAGAGGATTAATGTAGCCAGACCTTTCAATAATGTTGGCATTGATTTCTTTGGCCCAATGACGGCAAAGATTCAAGATAAGCCTGAGAAAGTGTATGGAGCTCTTTTTACTTGTATGGTCATACGCGCAGTTCATATTGAATTGGCATATGATCTGTCCGGATTATCATTTCTTCAGGCTTACAGAAGATTTATTGCTCGGAGAGGAATTCCGAGTATTATCTTTTCTGATAACGCCACTAATTTCCAATTTGGTGCCAAAATTATTAAAAAATTAAGTGACCAAACCTGGTGCACCCAAGAAGTGCAACAATGGATTGTTCACAGAGGCACTCAATGGAAATTTACTACCCCAAGAAACCCCCGCGAGGGAGGTGCTTGGGAAAGAATGATAGGGGTTGTGAAAAATGCGTTGAAAAGAAGTGTGGGGAAGAAGCTATTGGACCATGTCGAGCTTGCGACACTTTTTAGTGAGCTCGAGGCAATGGTCAACAGCCGCCCCCTAACTTATCAATCTGATGGCGAGCCTTTAAGGGCTATTCGGCCAATTGATTTCCTAATTCCATATGCTCCTGCTGAAATAAATTTTGCGAATATAGGAGATGATTCTGATTATGAGGAGGAAATGAGTAGAGAGAAAGGATTAAAAAATATGAGAGAAATTAATAAAAAATTAAATAAATTTTGGGACTTTTGGAAATCCCAATATCTCCTCTCTCTTAGGGAAAGAGGTGAGAAAGTTGGTAAAAATACTGGCAAGGAACCACAGGTCGGGGAGGTCGTTATAGTTGAGGAAGACCTACCCCGCCCTTTATGGAAACTCGCTCGAATAATCGATTTAATTCGAGGACGAGATGGTATAATTCGAACAGTTAAATTAAATATTTTGGGAAAAATTTTTAAAAGAAGTATAACTCAAATTTTTCCTTTAGAACTGTCATCAGAACAACAACTACTAAAATTACGACAACCAAAGGATCGAAATATAGAAGAAGAAATGGATTCAAGTTCTGAAGAAGATACACCTTTCCCTGCCCGAGCTCGACAAACCAAAAAACTCGGTCGACCAACCAAAGTACCCGAAATTATTATGATGGCAACAGTAGAATCTAGTCTACCACCAACAATGCCTGCCGTTAGAGACATGAGAGAAGAAAGGATCATGAAAAAATCTAGGAAAGAAAAGGAAAGAGAAGAAGAAGAAGTTCAAATCTTGGAAGCTCCTCAAATTCCAATTCTCCCAGCAGTAAAAGATAGAAGAGAAGATAGAGCATTAGAAGAAGCAAGAAAGGAAAAAGAAGAGGAAAAACGTAATGGAAAGAAGCGCAAAGCGGTGCCTGATTTAAATCTAGTAGTAGAAGAAAGAGGGGGGAAGAAGTATAGTAGCCGAAAATATGGTCATGATTTTAAAGGCAAATTTAAAATCCCCTTTAAACGAATAATAAGATATGGACGTGTAATACCTCGAAATTCTGCTAAACCACCTGGCGTCAATATGCTTGATAGAACACTAGCGTATGTTAATGCTTCAAATGCTAAGAGGGATCGTCTAATTACAAAGGGAAGAAAGGACTTGGATGACAGCAAATTTTATAAAAGTCAAAATGCCTCCCTCACCGAGATAAACACGATAGATGGCGAATAAAACAGAAGGAACAAATAGCTATTTTGGCTTCTAGAAGAGAAAGACAAGTAGTTAAATTAAAGAAAGATTATATGTGGCCTGCCCCCGAAATCAAAAAAAAGCCATTTGGAATGCATTAAATCGACAACTTCTAGTAGGACTGCGCACTCTCGACGCCTTCCCATCCAAGTTACTTTTCCAATAATGACAACCCTAGTTCATTATTTGGTGTTCAATTGGTTTGGAAGGCAGAAATTTGGAAATAATCAAATTTGGGAAGGAATCAGGGATCAACTCTGTGAACCTGAATTAAATCCGATGTGGCTGCTTGTAAAATTTTGGCAATATATCAAAATGGATCCGAAAAAGGCCTTCAAGGATAGATTTCTAATTGACATCCTTGTGCTTCGAAGAATGAATTGTAAGGTCTTTCAACATCAATTCAACTACCATTGGAATGGCCAGATCAAACTACAGGAGCCACCGAAAACTCCTATAGAAGAACTCAATCAATGGGCATCATACATTACTAGGATGTTTTCAAAATTATTAACGAAGCGTAACTACCAGAGGTGCAAAGGAAACACAACTTTGCGATTATATGAAGCGCCTTTTATTATTGCGGCTGACGCTTCAATTCAATCTGTGGTTAATTGGTGTGACAATCCTGGGGATTGTCGTCTGGTCTATTTTGATGGTGAAACTGATCTACACACCATTATTTATTTTGGAATCAAATCAACAGACCTTTTTATTGTCGTGAAACCCGATGATGAAATAATGGCTTCAATTGATAGGTCCTTGAAGTTCTGGAGAAGGGCTGTGTCCCAATCAAAATTACTCTAATTCATAATGAAAATAAAATTTATTTGGAAAGGAAGAAATATGAGGAGCAATTCCTAAATTTGGCAGAATCTTATAATACTGGATATTTGTATTATAATGGCAAATTTAAGAATTTAAAGAAGGCTAAAGGGAAAATTTTGGGAGAAACATATAATGATGAAGATTCTGAGGAAGAACCTGGACCAATGGCGGAATCGAAACTTCACCTTCGTATTTTTTCGTATGCGGGAATCTTATCCATTCGGACATAGAGGTTTAGATAAGTTTAATCAAATAATTTGATTATTTATTTATATTAATATCTCTGTGTATTTTGGGGGATGGGGTGGAGGATTTAAAATTTCAAAATTTCAAAATTTCGCAATTAAAATTTAAAAAAATTAAAATAAATTTAAATATAAATAATTAAATAAAAATGATAATAAATACTTTTTTGCAAAATTTTTACAAAAAAATAAAATGATTTTAAAAAAAGGGCGGAAGTTCAAGCTCGGGGATTTTATTTTTTAAAATTTTATATTATTAATCAAAAATATACCCATTAAACTTTTCATATTTTAATTATCACTTCCCACCCCTATCACTTATCAATCACACCCTTATACTTATTAATGTACCTAATCTTCTCTCAATCAATCAAAACATTTCTGTAAATATTTCCCTTACCTCTACCCAATAGATACTTGAAAAACCAAAAAAATTCGTTTCTTTATACCTTTCTTTTATTTTACCTCATTTTCACATCCCACCAAAACCTTTTGACTTCTTTTATTTTACCGCACTTTCAAAAAATAATTTTAAAAACTTTATTTTACCCTCCAAATGTTGCAACAGACCACCCAGACACCAAAAACATCAAACCTGTCAATTACCGCAAAATTCAACCAAAAAAGCAATTAATCATCAATGATTAACTACGCTTTGGAAATTACTAAAAAATATGTTATTAAAGAATTGGGGCATAGAAGAAATTTTAATAGATATATGCAATACAATCATCGGCAGATGAAAGATGTTTTCGATCTCCTAAAAGCTGCAAAAATTCCTAACGATCTCCCTGAATATGATGCCGTGGAGTACGTGCCAGTTGTTGTAGATTTCTGGAACAATCAATATAATGATACTGGATATAAATTCAAAGTATTTGTTTTCGGAGGTGTTAATGAAAAACCTATATTCAAATATGGAAATGAAAATTTCAATGTTCCAATTTCCATTTTTCACTCAAATAATCATTTTGATGGATTAAGAAATGTTGGAGGAATGTTTGGCGTGAACCATAAATATTGCTTTACTTGTGAGAAGAAATTCAGAAAATCAAAAGAGCATGACTTGAGATGTAAATCCCTCTGCAGACTGTGTGGACGAATTGGAAGTGAACGTCCATGCTTGGCAACAGCAAACTATTTCAAAAAATGTGATGATTGTGGGAAAAAGTATTTGAATGAAGACTGTTTTAACCATCATAAGAAAAGCAGCAATTGTCGGCAAACAAGAATTGTGAAAAATGCGGTGTAATATGGTCAATGAAAAATTACAAAAGAGAAGAGCAAAAGAAGCACGTATGTGGGCAAAAGTGGTGCCAAATTTGCCGGCAATTTCATAGTAATGATAGAGGATGTTTTATTCGTCCATTGGAACCTAAAAAATCAATACCATACCGTCTAGTAACTTTCGATTTTGAAGCAACACAAAATGAAATGATAAGGAATACAAATGAAAAAAGGCGGCTTCACAAAGTAAATTTCATTGCCGCAACAATAACATGCACAAAATGTATGGAAGACGGAAAAATATGGCGCTCACCCCTCAAACAAAATAAAAATAGTTGCACAATATGTGGAAACAATCGGTCAATAACATTTTCACATCGACCATACGCTCAAACAAAAGTTGATAAACAAATTATTACACAAACCCCGCTCAGAGACTTTACTCAATGGATTCTTTTTGAACTTAACCCTCAATATTCAACTATGGCATTTTCACACAATGGAGGTCGTTATGACATGGTGATGGTATTCAGAGAAATATACTTGAAAGGATTTGTGCCGTCAATGATTCGACGAGGTAATAAGCTTTATGAATTGAAAATTCCTCGCAACAACAAATGCAATGAAGTTATATTTCGTGACTCATATAATCTCTGTCCAGTTGCCTTAGGAAAGCTAATTGGAGCATTTGGACTGCAAGTAACTGAAAAACAATTTTTTCCACATTTGGCAAACATCCCCGAAAATTATGGTAGAACACTACAACAACTACCTCCAAAATCTGATTATTTATATGAAGGAATGCGCCCCGAAAAACAGAATGAATTTAATAAATGGTATGAAGAAGAGAAAAATCAACAGTTTTGTTTGGACGAAGCATTGGCCGAATATTGCACAAACGATGTGAAGATTCTCACAGAAGCGCTGATTGCTTTTAGAAAAAAATTTATGGAAATTAGCAAAAGCAAAAATAAACAACCTGGAGCATCACAAGAAGGAATTGACATATTACGAGATGCAATGACTATAGCCTCTGCCTGTATGAAACATTTTCGACCTAATCATCTGAAATCTGAACATTTGGCAATTGTTCCAGAAAAAGGATATGAAACATGTGATAATCAAAGCGAACTTGCACTGAAATATTTACAATGGTACGAAGAGACTCGAGGAGTTAAAATCCAAAGTGCACATTCAGAAGGTGGAGAATATGTTGTAGCGGGGAGATATAAGGTTGATGGATATATTAAAGAAGAGGATAGAGCAATTGAGGTAAATGGATGTGTTTGGCATGCATGTGAAAAATGCTTTGGAAATGATTTGCACAAAATTTTACCAAACGGAAAAACTATGGGAGAAATACGTGAAGATGATGGAAATCGTTTGGAAATTATTCGAAAATATATAAAAAATTTTGATATAATATGGGAATGTGATATACGTAAGATGCTTCGAAGAAACAAAAATATGCGAAAATCATTTGCAAATTATCATGACAAAGGTCCAATAAAAATTAGGGATTGTTATTTTGGCGGAAGAACAGGCCCTTTACAAATGTACTTTGATGCAGACAAAGAACAACATAAAATGGCTTATTTAGATTTTAATTCACTATATCCATCAACAATTGCTACAACATCATTTCCGGTTGGGCATCCGAAAATTCATGTCGTACCTTTGCCTGAACAAAATGTTAATTGGAAGAGTGGAGACCAAATTCCATTCAAAGGAATTTTGAAAGTATTTTTAGTACCGCCATCATCATTGAATGTTCCTGTTATTCCAGTCAAATTTGATGAAAGATTACTTTTTCCTCTCTGCAGAAAATGCGCACTTGCCTACCCGAATGGAGCAAACATCAAAGGATACCGATGTCCTCACAATGATGAAGATAGAGGCTGGGTCTCAACATGTACTTCAATAGAATTAGAAGAAGCATTAAAAGTTGGTTATACAGTTACGAAATTCTATAGAGCGCTTCATTATGAAAAATGGGATGAAAATTTATTTAAAAATTATGTGGCAGAATTTATGTCAATGAAGATTCATGCGAGTGGTTTCCCTGAAGGCATAGAAGGAAAAGAAAATGAGGATACATTTATAAAAGAATGTAAAGATAAATTTGGAATTGAGATAGAAAGAGAGAAAATGGTTCCAGATCAGGCGATGCGTTACATATCAAAATTAATGCTTAATTCTCTATGGGGAAGGTTCAGTCTAAGAAATGGACAATCAAGAAATGTAGTCATTGACTCACCCACTGAACTTATCGAATATGACAAAAATAACTCAATCGAGATACAATCTATTGATAATTTAACTGAAGAAACAATATTACTAACTTACAAACAAAAAGAAGAATTTATTATCGAACATGATACATCAAACATGGTGGTATCCTTGTGGACAACATCAGCCGCAAGAATAAAACTCTTGAAAGCAATGCAAAAGGTAGCAGAATCAGAGGGTTGCAATATTCTCTATGGAGACACAGACAGTATACTATTTTCCCATCCAAGGGATATAGAATGCCCTCTTAAAACAGGCCCCTATCTGGGCGATCTGGCGAAGGAATATGCAGGTTCTGAAATAAAAGAATATGTTGGAGGGGCGTGCAAGGCTTACGCACTGAGAATGGAAGGCAACAAAAATGCCAAAATCAGTAGTGTTATGAAAGTACGTGGCATCACTTTAACGGCTGATGTCTGCAAAATCTTGCATTTTGACAGTTTTAAAGAAAGTGTACTGCATTATGCAAATGGAAGAGGTGACAATGAGGAAGATGATGAGATAGATAATCGACCAATTATGATTGAAAACCCAAACTTTATACGCCGCAATGTGAAGGAAGGGATTGTTTACTCAACTAAAATGAGAAAAATATTTAGACCAATAATACAAAAAGGAATTATTTCTAATGACCTCAAAATTGTACATTTTGGACATAAATAATATCATTTTTTCACTTTATTGTTTTTAACTGTAATTAATATTTATTTTGATGATAAACAATTGATTAGAATAAAATCTAAAATTGTAATAGTTAATTTCAAATTAACAATTTTAAAATTAGATAAATTATCATTATTCAAATAAAATATAACATTTTTAAAAATTAATTAATTTTCTTAAATATAAATCTTGAAAAACTTATTACTTTCTTTGCTATATAACTGTCAACAAGAGATAACAACAATTTATCATAAAAATTATTGGAAAAATGTTAAAGTTTTTGATCATATTAATAACTATACCGTCCTTATTGGCTGAATACTGGGACGCCAAACCATGTAAGAGAGAAACATTGGTGACTACATTATACCGGAGGACGCCTATACCAATATGGCGGAGAACACCGCCGCCAATATTTCCTAGCAGGGATAAAAGCAATTCAGTGGAACTACCGATATGGCGGAGAACACCGCCACCAATATTTCCTATTAGAGATAAAAATAAGTCAATGGAGCTACCAATATGGCGGAGAACACCGCCACCAATATTTGCTAG